CCCATCTATGGGTAAACGTTTATTTGTAGTGTGATGATCTAATTTATTTATACCTTTTAATATATTCTTTACCGGGTAAGCAGAAAGAAAAGGAGTATGGTTTGGAATGGCTGTCAGAACGTGGTGCAGTATGCCTGATAGGTAGAGTTTGATAGAGTTGAATGAAAGTTTTAGATGAAGGTGGCAAAATGCGGCAAATGCGACCATGATTTGAATCGAATGATCGTGAATGTTGAATTCTATGGAGAACCTCTGAAAAATGGCCATGGCTCTATCGTATGTACTCTTAGTGTTTGCGGATAAGTCTACTTGTGCTAATTCCTTGCCGTGCGCCAATAGCCGGGCTAGTCCAGGATTAAATTGATGAAATCCGGAGTTTGGGTTGGGTATTTGTTGGGTGAAGAATGAAGAATTCCTGCAATTTACAATGGGACAGAGCGTCAGCGGCAGAGTTGGAGTAGCCTGCGATGTATTCGCAGTAGAGGAAGAACTGAAATGTGGCAGCCAACCAAGTCAGCCTGCAAACTAACCTCATAATTGTCAATGAAGATGATCGACCCTTATTAATTATGTTGCAGGCTGCCATGTTGTCGGTATAACATTTGACTGCCATGCCTGACCAGGATTTGCCCCATGTGAATGCAGCCGCCACTATCGGGTAAATTTCGAATAATGCCGATGTCTCACGAAAGGAAGATAGATCGAGTGTCTCTTCAGGCCAGCAATCTCTTAACCAGTGGTTTTTGTAGATTGCTGCAAACCCAGTATTAGCGGCTGCATCTGTCCAAAAGACTGGGGATTGGTCAGATACTGGTGGGATGAACATTGAAATCCCATTCCAGTGCTCTCAGAACTCCTGCCACATGACCAGGTCTGCCTTTGCCGGAGGATCTAAGTAAGCAATATCCCCGTCGGGCAGACCTGGTAATAAGCGTAACAGTCTAGAAATAAATGATCTCCCCTGAGGAATAATGCGCATGGCGAAGTTTAAAGAACCTAGCAATGATTGTAGGTCTTTCCAAATACATGTTCCTAGTTGAAGGAACCTGTTCACATCATCACGAATGCGCACAAGCTTATCCTTGGGGAGACTTGACTGCATGGTACTGGAATTTAGTGTGATACCTAGGAAATTAAGTCTGGTGGTGGGTTCAGTAGTTTTGCCTTGTGACAGAGGAATGCCTAGAGTTGAAAATAGAGCTGTAGTGCTCTTTAGACTTGTAGGAGTGCTGTTGCTATTTTCCACCATTACGAAGTCGTCTAAATAGTGTATCACCATGGGGCACCTAGTGATGTTGAGGAGAGGCTAGCAGAGAGTCTCCGCAAACATGTCAAATATTTTGGGGCAACTTTTTCCCCCGAAAGTGAGTCTGGTAGCAAAGTAATACTTCTCTCTCCACTTAACCCCATGAACATGCCATAAAGAGGGATGGATAGGTAGCAGCTTGAAGGCATTGGAAATATCGGTCTTGCTAAGCCATGCGGCTTTACCATGCTTGTATGGCATTATCCATGGTGGTATAGTGTAGAGAGAATTTAGTGGATGGTATTAGGGAGTTTAGGCTTGGGTTTGTAGATGAATGAGGAGCAGACAGATCAATGATAAGACATTTTTTATTGGAGTATTTGCTGGTGGCTATCCCGATTGGGTTTGTGCACCAGGAGGTGGAGGGGGGGGGAGGAAAAGGGGCCTATCATGAAACCGAGGCAAAGCAGGACATCAAGCCCCTGTATCCTGATAACCTCATTATGGTGATGCGTGGCCTTGTAGAGGCAGTTAATAGAGATGTGAACGAAAATATATTTGTACCTGATAGAAACAGGAGACAGTAATGAACCAATAACCGGGCTTATGGTAGAATGCCCTTCAGGAAATCTGAAATTGAGGTGTAGCATGTGAAAAAGGAAAGGATATCCTTAAGATGACATTTAATACATAATATGTTAACCCCTCCCTCATAATGACAATTATAACAGTATTAGAATGCGCAATTATTCAGATTTACATAACAGATAATAAGCTGTAGCTTAGCAAATTATAATAAGTAACTTCTTTAATATAATATTAGTTTGTTTGATTTACTGAGATCCTTCTCTTAACAGTTATCTTCCATTCACTTAACCTAACCATAGAACAGTAAAGTGTACAAATTGACATGTTTGGATGTTCCTAACGAATGTAACTAAAGAATGGACCTGGTATAGCAGGTCTATAAAACGTTATAGTGAAAGATGCGTCCGAACGGCGGCTATTCTTGCTGATTACCTGATCGTTTGTTTGTTTGGTGGTTCGTCTGAAATTGCACGAATGGAGGATGCTAACTGGCGGAAAACTGAAAAGGAGGCGAACAGACCCAGAGTGAACAGCGTACATCATGGCGAAGGTAAGAAGGGGGAGTAGCGTTTTTATAGGAATGCCTGTCACCATGGGGCCATGGCCTCAGTCCACCAATCTCAGTTTTAGATCAGTCCACTAATGACAAGAACAGGGCACCATTGTGCAGCAGCAGGAGGGAGAAACCCGACACCTGATCCTGCTCTATATGATCACACAAATCAGAATGCCTCTCTTCTCTCCCTGTCAGGATGCTGCAAGGAAAAGCGATCTTCAAACTGCATATGTGCAAATCTGACAGGCATGCCCAATGCACTTGTCTAACATTCCTAGGGATAGGACACTGATTTGTTAGAACAGTACCCCCCATGAAGTAGTGGTGTGGGGGGAAAAAGAAGCAGGTAAATATGAGAAAAATCACATTTACATGCATAGTTTAGCCTATAGAGTAGGACAATTGTGTCATTCAAAGCTAAAGCTTTTGAATGTAACAGTTTCTCAAAGTAGTGCATGTCTCTTTAAACACACATAGTCATTCAATGTAAGCTGCAGTTTCATAGACTGTGCATTGCAATTTATTTTAAATAAAGTTTGTAGTGTTTGCTTCTTCTTCCATTTATTTTTAGGTTCCGTACATTTCTGGGGGATTACAGCATGAAATTACCATAGGTGTTTACTCTGCTGTGGTTTGTGGTCTTTGGCCACAAGCTACTACATTAAGCTGTAGTGGTTATGGTGCCCATAGTGTCCCTTTAAATTTAAAAGTCACTTTGAAATCTCACTTTAGTGAATAACCCTGCTAAATATCATGGGATTTGCACTTGTTTAAGGCACAGCCATTCTGGAATCTTTATCCTTTAGGGGAAAAGTTTCCCAACATGGGACACTTGAGAGCCATTGGGCAGAAAGGTCTGCAAAATATAGAGTAATTCTTTATGCAATATCAGGGTTATTTACTAAATTGTGAATTCAAAGTGGATATGAGCGTATTTCAAATTTAATTCGTACTTGAGTGAAAAATCCTGTAAATGGACAAACATATGTTGGCACCTGACATTCATAACTATGACCTTGGACATAACATTCCAAAATCATGGGCATTAATACGGAGGCTCCTCTTTCCTTAGCAGGATTTGTTCTACACCAGCGTTTGGCAACCTTCAGCACTCATGATGTTTTGGAATACATCTATAATCATAATGCTCACAAATCATTACGGAAGATGTAGTCACAAAACATTTGGAATGCTGAAGGTTGGCTACCCCTGCTCTACACTAAACTCATCAAAACAACATATCTATGGACCTCATTTTGTGGACAGGCTAACAATCATGCTGGAAGAGGAAAGTTCCTGCTCCAAATTGTTTATACAAAGTTGAAAGTATCAAATTGTCTAAAACATATTTGTGTCACACCTTAAGCTTACCCCTCACTGGTACTGAATGGCCTTGCCAACAAATGTAAAAACAGCCTTAGACCATTATCCCTCTTTCACCGAACTTTATACGAGGCACTATGCATTCTGGTAGGTTGTGTTCTCTTGGCATCCGCAGATTCCTCCATAAGACTGCCAGGTAGTGTAGTGCAATTCATCATTCCAAAGAACATGTTTTCACCAATCCGGAGTCCCATGGCCAATCAGGTGGACACAAGCTTCATATCAAAATATGCAATTCCAAGTGGTAGATGGTGTGGCCTCCATCCGATGCTTGGCATTACACATGCACATGTTGTAGTGCTGACATAAGCTCAAATATAAGCCAACCGTGTTCAGGAGAGCTGTCAGACGTTCCTGCAGCAGTAGTGGAGACGGGAGCTGCACCCAGTACATCTCCGTTAAGAAATCAAACCATTCACAGACTATTCACAATGGAAGAGGCATCAGGACACTTCTGGTGCTATAACGACTACAAGCAGGGCCTGGGAATTTAAAGGCAGAACAGCCCACTAGGGGCGGGGACAGAGAGGGATAGTGAATATGTTAGCCTGTCCTTCCAGGGCATCTTATGCTGAAGAGCTCTTACATGAAAACAATGCCTTGTGTTTTACATAGCACAAGCAAATCTAAACACACAATTGCAGTGCATTTGTTTGGTGACTAAGTGTGGTCATAGAGGCGATTGTGTGTAATGCAGTCTGTTTGTGGTGTACTATGTGTGGTTAGGAATTTTAGTGCTTCCAGTGGCTGTAAAGTGTGT